GGCACAGCCTAAGAGTTTTTTTGAGATCCGCAGTTTTTTGGGATTAGCTGGGTATTACCGCCAGTTTGTGAAAGATTTCTCTAGGCTAGCTTCGCTGTTGACTAGATTGACGCGGAAAGGGGTCAAGTTTGTATGGAGTGAGAGTTGTGAAAAGTCGTTCCAGGAGTTGAAAGTCAGATTGACCACTGCTCCGGTTTTGATTATTTCGGAGAGAGGTTTGGGTTATGCGGTTTATTGTGATGCCTCACGAGAGGGTTTGGGTTGTGTGTTGATGCAAGAGGGGAAAGTGGTTGCCTATGGCTTACGTCAGCTGAAAATACACGAGAAGAATTACCCTACACATGACCTAGAGTTAGCAGCAATGATCTTTGCCTTGAAGATCTGGAGGCACTACCTTTATGATGAAAGGTTCGAGGTATTCTCAGACCATAAGAGTTTGAAGTACCTGTTTACACAGAGAGACTTGAATTTGAGGTAGAGAAGGTGGATGGAGTTCATTGAGGACTACGACTTTGAATTACACTATCACCCGGGGAAGGCCAATGTTGTGGCCGATGCCCTTAGCAAAAAATCCATTAGTGATGTAGCTTGTATAGCTATACGGGAGTGAGAGATGTTGGGTGCACTTGGCGAGTTTGATTTGCTTTTGGGCGAATCCGTTGAGGCTGCGACCTTGTTTTTTGTTGTTGTGCAGCCTACACTCGTGACTCGAGTGTTAGAGGCACAAGGAGGTGACCTTGAGGTAGAATCCCTCCGAGAGAAGATCTCCGGTGGGAAGGTTGAGAAGGGTTTGTCTGTGTATCCCGACCAGAGTGTGAGATACCGAAACCGTTTGTTTGTGCCAGAGTCTTGCCAAGAGGAGGTACTCTGAGAGTTTCACCATTCACGTCTTGCGGTGCATCCGGGAGGCACTAAGATGTATCGAGATTTGGGTCGCCAGTTTTGGTGGCGGGATATGAAGAAGGATGTGGCGGTTTTCGTGTTGAAGTGCCTTACTTGTCAGTAAGTGAAGGCCGAGCATCAGAGGCCAGCGGGTTTGTTGCAACCCTTGCCTATTGCCGAGTGGAAGTGGAAGCATGTCACTATGGACTTCGTTGTAGGTCTTCCAAGGACTCAACGGGGTAGTGATGCTATTTGGGTGGTTGTAGACCAGTTGACTAAGTCGACGCACTTTATCCCCATGCGCGTAAGAGATTCGGTAGATCATCTTACCGACTTGTATATTCGGGACATAGTGAGGTTGCACGGGGTCCCAGTGACGATCGTCTCAGACAAAGATCCTCGTTTTACCGCCAGGTTGTGACAGAGTTTGCAGAGTGCCTTGGGTACTAGGTTGACCATTAGCACGGCTTATCATCCTCAGACTGACGGGCAGTCCGAGCGTACTATCCAGATCCTTGAGGATATGCTTCGAGGTTGCGTCCTTGACTTTAGTGGGACCGTTTGAGGCCTTGTATGGCCAACCTTGTAGGTCCCCAGTATGTTGGACCGAGGTGGGTGATGCACCTTTGTTGGGCCCGGAGTTGGTTAAAGAGACAACAGAGAAAGTTGAGCTTATCCGTAGGAGGCTTGTTACAGCCCAGAGTCGCCAGAAGAGTTATGCCGACCGTAGGAGGAGGCCTTTGGCATTTGAGACGGGTGATCATGTTTTTCTAAAAATATCACCTAGGCGAGGTTTGATGAGGTTTAGGAAGAGCGGGAAGTTATCCCCTCGGTTTATTGGTCCCTTTGAGATCCTTGAGAGGATTGGAGAGGTTGCTTATTGTTTGGCTTTGCCACCGCAGTTGCCCGGGGTACATGACGTATTTCATGTTAGTATGCTTCGGAAGTGTGAATCGGATCCATCACACGTGTTGGATTAGATTGACTTAGAGGTAGATAAGGATGCCTCGTATGAGGAGAGACCGGTTCGGGTCTTGGATAGGCGGGATCAAGTCTTGCGAGGCAAGACCATGCCCTTGGTAAAAGTTTTGTGGAAGCATCACGGAGTGGAAGAAGCCACTTGGGAACATGAGTTAGAGGCCCGTGAAAAATATCCGGACATGTTTGCTGATGTATAATCATGTATTGAAATTATGTAATATGATGAACTTTAAGAACATTGAATGTGTTTAGAGTTGTAAAACATTGTGAATGTTTTGGTTTATGGAAGTATATTTTGAAACTTGCCTTATAATGGAAGTTAATTTTTACATTGTATATGTTAATGATGTTTTAGAAATGCAAATGTATGGTTGGCATTGAATATATTGTGAGATGCATGTTGATAATGCATGTTGGAAATCAGGTGGAAATTTGCCTCTTGAATAGAGGGGATGACCGGTAATTGGTCAAGTTGTTAAATTTGGCATTGTGATAATGATTGGTAATTGGGAAATCCTGTTTTTGAGAAACTTGTATTTAATTTCGGGGACGAAATTCTTTAAGGGGGGAAGGTTATAGCGATCCCGGTTTCCCTTTCTTTGTTTGTTGTATTCCGAACTCGGTTCCGTAGAGTTGGTGGTTGTATATCTTGTTGTCATCCTTTAATTCCATATGTTTGAGTTTTAGGATGTGTTGGGCGTGTTTCGAACAGGTAGGTTGAGTTTTGGTCTCAAGTGTTGTTGCCCAGAATTTTGGTATTACGCTCGAGTGGGCCATTCTGCGCTCGAACGGAGTTTCATTTTTGGTTGTCCGCTCGAGCGGGTCTTCTTGCGCTCGAGCGGGGTTTACACCATTCCAATATTTCGTGTTCCTGCAAAACTTCTGCATGTGTGTTTTCTACGCTCGAGCGGGACTTTTGGCACTCGAGCGGGTGGTTCTTTTTCTGAAAAGTTCTGGGAGATGAAAATCTACGCTCGAGCGAACTGGTTTTTCGGGCTCGAGCGAGTGTGTTTTGTTTTTGTGTCTTGGCGCTTGAGCGGGCATTCTTGCGCTCGAGCGGACCTAGTTTTTTGTTCTTGACACTCGAGCGTCCTGTTCTCCGCTCGAGCGGGAGAGTCGTATATCAGTTGACAGTTAGGCTATTTTAAATCACTTTTTACTTTCCTTTCTCTCTCTTACATTTCGAAAACAGCCATTTGAGAGCTTCTCTCTCTAAAAACTTACCTTCTCTCTAAGTATTGATCTAGTAGGAGTGATCCTTCACTCTTTGGCCTTTATAAAAAGTGTGTTGATCGTCGAGGGCTTCGTTTTGATCCAAAAAGTTTGAAGTTTGGAGCACTTTGAGTTTGGTCTTCTTCTTCCTTTGAGCTCCGAATTTGAGATAAGGATTCCTGCTCACTCTTATGGGCTTTGACCTAGATTTTGAGCTTTTGTATAAATGGTTTTGGGTTTTAAGGTTAGGGTTTCAAATGTGTAATTTTGAAAAGAAGGTTATGTTTGTTTTGAACCATAAACATGTATTCGGGTTTCAAAATGGGTATATTGATGTGGTTGGTAATATTTAGACCCTTGCGGTTAATATTGAGAGATGGGGGAGAAAGCCCTAAATTGTGCATGAATTAATTGGTGTAATTAATTTGGGAAAGTTATGGGTTTGTGAAATTGAGTTGAATATAACGAAATTGGCTCATTATGAGATGGAATAGTGGAGTCGGATTTATAAATCACTCACTTTTGAAAATGCGGATAATTTATCTGTTAGTGCTTTTATTATCTGTTTAGAAATAATTGCTTTGGGCTACCAGTGGAGGGTAGTCTTGATTGTTGTAGACAATGCATGATGATTGGGCAAACTAAACCTGATCAATTGAATGTGTCATAGAATATGACGGTTGAAATAATACATTAACTTTATGTATTGATTGAATGTGTATATGATCTGTGTTTGTATACATTGTGTTGTGTGGGAGGAAATAGGGGATGTACTCCACGGTTTAGGAGAAGATAGGGGATGGACTTCTAAACCGGGTAATGTTTGGGAGGAGATAGGGGATGGACTCCGTAGATACGCTCATATGCTTATCTATTGAAGTGTTGATACAGCTCATATGCTTATCTGTTAAAGTGTTGATATAGCTCATATGCTTATCTATTGATGTGTTGATACAGCTAGTATGCTTATCTATTGTGAAATGGGAAATGTTTAATATGAGTTACTATCTCATCTGAATTGTTAGGCCAGGTTCTGGGCCATAGTTATGAATAGAGAGTTGGATAAGAAATGGAAAATGAAATGAAACATGGACACATTTGTCATATAATGGAAATGGTTTATGAATTGATCATGTGAGTCAAACCTTATCAATTGCTAATGTCTTAGTTACTGCTCATATTATGTTTAGCATATCTCTACTGGGCGTTGGCTCACCCTTTATAGGACATCATTTTCAGATACGGGCAGCATGCCACCTCCAAGGACATAGCTTGGGAGGCTAGAGGCAGACAGACTGTTTTGTTGTTTTGCTTTCTTTTGATGTATTACATGTAAATTCAAGCCAAGGGCTTAATATGTATTTAAGTTAGCACTCTTCTTTTTGTAACCAAGTGTTAACTTGGAAAGCTGTAAGCCCATAGGGCACTTGCTTTTGTTGTTAACATGTAATACTTTTGTAAAAACTACTCTGATGAATAGAAATGTATTTATTTCTCTTATATCATTGCATGTCTAAATAGATGGTTTTTTGTATTATTTTGAGGGCGTTACATGTCTGATCAAAACTAATTTTTTACATAAATGACTTTCATTGTAGGACTTACGAGATAAACTTTTCGTATTATCAATACGAGTTCAAATTAAAACCCATAAAAAAAATTAAAAAAAATTAAAAAAAAAAGAGTAAAGAGAGAGAGGTATGAAGATATGAAAAATGGAGAAGTGTTTATCCCAATATGGAGAATGCAATTTTTCTTATAAAAAAAAAAAAAAAAAAAAAAAAAAAAAAAAAAAAAAAAAAAAACCCACAAGAAAATTTGTATTTGAAGCAAATCTCATGGTGTGTTGGTAATGTTTTTTGTTATATAAGGTATTTTGAACCAGCTTACGCGCACTAGATCAAGTCCCTACAATCCAAACAAACCTTTCAAAAAACAGAGTTTACGCCCTGCAGTCTGTGGCTCCATGGTATGCGTTTGTTGATTAGGGAATTCGAACTTGAGACTTGGGAGGGAGCAAATCTCCAGACCCCAATCGTCATCCACGAGACCAACCATCCTGTGAAAACTAAAATGTTCTTCAGAAAAAGTGAACCAGCGAACGACAAGGGCTGAAACGAAGAGAGGAAAGAACGCCGGAGTGATAGAAGACCGCCGGAGAGAATGACGGCAGATGCAGAAGCCAAGGAAAACGAAAAAAGGACGAAGATAAACAAGAATAGCCACCAAGAAAGACAATCTCTAACCTCTCCCTCCCTTCAACCAGGTTCTTTGATTTGAGGATTTCAATTGCACGCAAAAAAAAAGAAAATAAATATTTTGGGAAGTTATACATTGAACTGAAATTTTAGGATTTTCATATGGGGGAGTTTTGATTGAAAATTTTGGGTTATGTTGTCATTGCCTATGTTAGAGAAATTATTTATCATATCTGGTTTCAATTTTTTGAATTTAATTTTTTAAAAATTAAATTTTTTATTTTTTATTTTTAATGAATATTTTTAAAATTTTAAGTAATTTTTTTACTTTTTTAAATGCACCTTATTTAGATGTATGTAAAAAATAAAACATTTATAAAAAAAATACTTTAAAAAATTAATAACTACACAAGAATATGAAAAATATATTGAATTTTCTTATTTTTTTTAACAATGGACTTTTCAACCAGCAGCAACGCCTTTCCAAGACCGAAGCTATAAATTCAAGTCCCATACCAAGACCGAAGCTATAAATTCAAGTCTCATAAGTCCTAACGAATTTAATAATAATAATAATACTATGAATCTACCATTCTCAACTCAAAAATTATTCAAAATTTTTATTTTGTAATTCAAATTTTTTCTATATATAAATTCTATATAAATCTTATACTGTATAAATTAATTTTCATCACACAATCATCCACTTAAAATTTTCTCAATAGATAAGGATGAGTTGCTACACATTTCCATTTAAAAAATACCATAAGTTCCAAATTTTCTACTAAATAAATTACTAAATATCTAACAAAATGTGAACCCCATACCCATGTGAGACATTTGGTCATTTATTTGATAGAAAATTTAGTATACCTAACCTTATCCTTTCCATTTAACAAACATATCAATTCATCTCTCCATTTTCAAGCTTGTTAATCTAATCTACTATCTATGAGGCAAACAAACATTTATGAGCTAATTTGAGAAGATGGTTAAAAGTCTTGACTTTTAACCTATTTTTGTTCATATTACCTCTCTATATTTTTATATATTTTTTCAAAAAAAAAAACCAAAAAATTAACTTTTAACTAACTTCTCCAAATAATGTCTTATTAAAACTCCACTAGATTGTGAACGTCAATATCAATAATAATAGGGAAGGGTAGTTGGATAATTAAATTTAAAATCAAATTAAATAAAAAAATTTGATGAATAATTAGAAATGGTCTTTTAAACGAGTACTTTGATTCATAAGGTTAGGTAAATTTAAGACTTGAGTGTCTTTTCGAAAAATTGTAATTTCATGTATAACAACATTACAAACTCAAACTTATGAACCTAAAAATTACTTATAAATAGAAATCAATGGTTCGAATTCATTTTACTCATTAATTCCACATTTTATCAATTTAATTTTGACCACACAAACACATCCGAAGTAAATTATGAATTAATAAGGGTGAGTTCATAACATTTTTGTTTACTGTAATAGATTAATAATTACACAAACATAGAGGGGATAAACTCCCTTTCATATCTCTCCATACTTTTCTCATAGGTTCCAATCCAGACCCACTCTATCCCCACAATAAACATCCTCTGTTAAAAAAATTAAATTCATCAGATAATTATAAATTCAAGAATTAATTACATTTTGTTTTATAAAACGAACGATAGATATAATTAAATTTAAACCATCCATTGTATAAAATAAAATGCGATTTGTTACCATATTTATAGGTGTCCGATCAAAACTAATTTTTTACATAAATGACTTTCATTGTAGGACTTACGAGATAAACTGTTCGCATTATCAATGCAAGTTCAAATTAAAACCCATAAAAAAAATTATAAAAAAAAAAGAGTAAAGAGAGAGAGGTATGAAGATTTGAAATATGGAGAAGAGTTTATCCCAATATGGAGAATGCAATTTTTCTTATGAAAAAAAAAAAAAAAAAAAAAAACCCACAAGAAAAGTTGTATTTGACGCAAATCTCATGGTGTATTGGTAATTTTTTTTGTTGTATAAGATATTTTGAGCCAGCTTACGCGCACTAAATTAAGTCCCTACAATCCGAACAAACCTTTCAAAACAGAGTTTACACCCTACAGTCCGTGGCTCCAAGGTATGCGTTTGTCGATTAGGGAATTCGAACCTGAGACCCTGGAGGGAGCAAATCTCCAGACCCCAGTCGTCACCCACGAGACCAACCATCCTGTGAAAACTAAAATGTTCTCCAGAAAAAGTGAACCTGCAAACGACAAGTGCTGAAACAGAGAGAGGAAAGAACGCCGGAGTGATAGAAGACCGCCGAAGAGAATGACAGCAGATGTAGAAGCCAAGGAAAACGAAAAAATGTCGAAGATAAACAAGAATAGCCACCAAGAAAGACAATCTCTCACCTCTCCCTCCCTTCAACCAGGTTCTTTGATTTGAGAATTTCAATTGCACCCAAAAAAAAAGAAAAAAAAAATTTGGGAAGTTATACATTGAATTGAAATTTTAGGAATTTCATATGGGGGAGTTTTGATTGAAAATTTTGGGTTATGTAATCATTGCCTATGTTAGAGAAATTATTTATCATATCAGGTTTCAATTTTTTGAATTTAATTTTTTAAAAATTAATTTTTTAATTCTTTTGTTTTAATGAATTTTTTTTGAAATTTTAAGTAATTTTTTTACTTTTTTAAATGCACCTTATTTAGATGTATGTAAAAAGTAAAACATTTATTAAAAAAAATATTTTAAAAAATTAATAAATACATAAGAATATGAAAAATATATTGAATTTTCGTATTTTTTTTAACAATGGACTTTTCAACCAGCAGCGCCTTTCCAAGACCGAAGCTATAAATTCAAGTTTCATACCAAGACCGAAGCTATAAATTCAAGTCTCATAAGTCCTAACGAATTTTCTACTAAATAAATTACTAAATATCCAACAAAATATGAACCCCATACCCATGTGAAACATTTAGTCATTTATTTGATAGAAAATTTAGTATACCTAACATTATCCTTTCCATTTAACAAACATATCAATTCATCTCTCCATTTTCAAGGTTGTTAATCCAATCTACTATCTATGAGGCAAACAAACATTTATGAGCTAATTTGAGAAAATGGTTAAAAGTCTTGACTTTTAACCTATTTTTGGTCATATTACCTCTCTATATTTTTATATATTTTTTCAAAAAAAAATCAAAAAATTAACTTTTAACTAACATCTCAAAATAATGTCTTATTAAAACTCCACTAGATTGTGAACGTCAAATCAATAATAATAGGGAAGGGTAGTTGGATAATTAAATTTAAAATCAAATTAAATGAAAAAAATTTGATGAATAATAAGAAATGGTCTTATAAACGAGTACTTTGATTCATAAGGTTAGGTAAAATTAAGACTTGAGTGTCTTTTCGAAAAATTGTAATTTCATGTGTAACATCATTACAAACTCAGACTTCTAAACCTAAAAATTACTTATAAAGAGAAATCAATGGTTCAAATTCATTTTATTCATTAATCCCATATTTTGTAAATTTAATTTTCACCACACAAACACATCCGAAGTAAATTATGAATTAATAAGGATGAGTTCATAACATTTTTGTTTAATGTAATAGATTAATAATTACACAAACATAGAGGGGATAAACTCCCTTTCATATCTCTCTAGACTTTTCTCATAGGTTCCAATCCAGACCCACTCTATCTCCACAATAAACGTCATCCATTAAAAAAATTAAATTCATCAGATAATTATAAATTCAAGAATTAATTACATTTTGTTTGATAAAATGAACGATAGATATAATTAAATTTAAACCATCCATTTTATAAAATAAAATGCAATTTGTTACCATATTTATAGGTGTCTAATCAAAACTAATTTTTTACATAAATGACTTTTATTGTAGGACTTACGAGATAAACTGTTCGTATTATGAATGCGAGTTCAAAATAAAACCCATAAAAAAAAAAGTAAAGAGAGAGAGGTATGAAGATATGAAAAATGGAGAAGTGTTTATCCCAATATGGAGAATGCAATTTTTCTTATGAAAAAAAAACCACAAGAAAAGTTGTATTTGAAGCAAATCTTATGGTGTATTGGTAATTTTTTTTGTTATATAAGATATTTTGAGCCAGCTTACGCGTACTAGATTAAGTCCCTACAATCCGAACAAACCTTTCAAAATAGAGTTTACGCCCGGCAGTCCGTGGCTCCAAGGTATGCATTTGTTGATTAGGGAATTCGAACTTGAGACTTGGGAGGGAACAAATCTCCAGACCCCAGTCGTCACCCACGAGACCAACCATCCTGTGAAAACTAAAATGTTCCCCAGAAAAAGTGAACTAGCGAACGACAAGTGCTGAAACAGTGAGAGGAAAGAATGCCGGCGTGATAGAAGATCGTCGAAGAGAATGACAGGAGATGCAGAAGCCAAGGAAAACGAAAAAAGGACGAAGATAAACAAGAATAGACACCAAGAAAGACAATCTCTCACCTCTCCCTCCCTTCAACCAGATTCTTTGATTTGAGGATTTCAATTGCACCCAAAAAAAGAAAAAAAATATTTTGGGAAGTTATACATTGAATTGAAATTTTAGGATTTTCATATGGGGGAGTTTTGATTGAAAATTTTGGGTTAAGTAATCATTGCCGATGTTAGAGAAATTATTTATCATATCTAGTTTCAATTTTTTGAATTTAATTTTTTTTAAATTAAATTTTTTATTTTTTTATTTTAATGAATATTTTTAAAATTTTAAGTAATTTTTTTACATTTTTAAATGCACCTTATTTAGATGCATGTAAAAAGTAAAATATTTATAAAAAAAATATTTTAAAAAATTAATAAATACACAAGAATATGAAAAATATATTAAATTTTCTTATTTTTTTTAAAAATGGACTTTTCAACCAGCAGCAGCGCCTTTCCATGACCGAAGCTATAAATTCAAGTCTCATACCAAGACCGAAGCTATAAATTTAAGTCTCATAAGTCCTAACGAATTTAATAATAATAATACTATGAATCTACCATTCTCAACTCAAAAAATTTTCAAAATTTTTATTTTGTAATTCAAATTTTTTTCTATATATAAATTCTATATAAATCTTATACTATATAAATTAATTTTCATCACACAATCATCCACTTAAAATTTTCTCAATAGATAAGGATGAGTTCCTACACATTTCCATTTAAAAAATACTGTAAGTTCCAAATTTTCTACTAAATAAATTACTAAATATCTAACAAAATGTGAACCCCATACCCATGTGAAACATTTAGTCATTTATTTGTTTTATTTTTTCATTTTACACAACAAGGCTAGCTCCTTTTGTCTCACCTCTCCACCAGCCTTGCTTGTTTGATGTTACATGTTACGTTACATATTCAATGGGGAGAAATTTCTTCTTGTATTGGTCAATATTGGACCACAAAGATATCAATTCATCTCTCCATTTTCAAGGTTGTTAATCCAATCTACTATCTAAGAGGCAAACAAACATTTATGAGTTAATTTGAGAAGATGGTTAAAAGTCTTGACTTTTAACCTCTTTTTGGTCATATTACCTCTCTATATTTTTATATATTTTTTCAAAAAAAAAAATTAAAATATTAACTTTTAACTAGCTTCTCAAAATAATGTCTTATTAAAACTCCACTAGATTGTGAACGTCAATATCAATAATAATAGGGAAGGGTAGTTGGATAATTAAATTTAGAATCAAATTAAATAAAAAAATTTAACGAATAATTAGAAATGGTCTTATAAACGTGTACTTTGATTCATAAGGTTAGGTAAAATTAAGATTTGACTGTCTTCTTGAAAAATTGTAATGTCATGTATAACAACATTACAAACTCAGACTTATGAACCTAAAAATTACTTATAAATAGAAATCAATGGTTCAAATTCATTTTACTCACTAATCCCACATTTTATCAATTTAATTTTCACCACACAAACACATTTGAAGTAAATTATGAATTAATAAGGGTGAGTTCATAACATTTTTGTATAATGTAATAGATTAATAATTACACAAACATAGAGGGGATAAACTCCCTTTCATATCTCTCCATACTTTTCTCATAGGTTCCAATCCAGACCCGCTCTATCCCCACAATAAACGTCATCCATTAAAAAAATTAAATTCATCAGACAATTATAAATACAAGAATTAATTACATTTTGTTTTATAAAATGAACGATAGATATAATTAAATTTAAACCATTCATTTTATAAAATAAAATGCGATTTGTTACCATATTTATAGGTGTCCGATCAAACTAATTTTTTACATAAATGACTTTCATTGCAGGACTTACGAGATAAAATGTTCGTATTATCAATGCGAGTTCAAATTAAAACCCATAAAAAAAATTAAAAAAAAAGTAGAGAGAGGTATGAAGATATGAAATATGGAGGAGAATTTATCCCAATATGGAGAATGCAATTTTTCTTATGAAAAAATTAAAATAAAAAAAAAAACCACAAGAAAAGTTGTATTTGAAGCAAATCTCAAGGTGTATTGGTAATTTTTTTTGTTATATAAGGTATTTTGAGCCAGCTTGCGCGCACTAGATTAAGTCCTTACAATCCGAACAAATCTTTCAAAACAAAGGTTACGCCCTGCAGTCCATGGCTCCAAGGTATGCGTTTGTTGATTAGGGAATTCGAACCTGAGACCTGAAAGGGAGAAAATCTCCAAACCCCAGTTGTCACCCACGAGACCAAACCATCCTGTGAAAACTAAAATGTTCTCCAGAAAAAGTGAACCAGCGAACTACAAGTGCTAAAACAGAGAGAGGAAAGAACGCCGGAGTGATAGAAGACCGCCGGAGAGAATGACGGCCGATGCAGAAGCCAAGGAAAACGAAAAAGGTCGAAGATAAACAAGAATAGCCACCAAGAAAGACAATCTCTCACCCCTCCCTCCCTTAAACCAGGTTCTTTGATTTGAGGATTTCAATTGCACCCAAAAAAAAAGAAAAAAATATTTTGGGAAGTTATACATTGAATTGCAATTTTAGGAGTTTCATATGGGAGAGTTTTGATTGAAAATTTTGGGTTATGTTGTCATTGCCTATGTTAGAGAAATTATTTATCATATCTAGTTTCAATTTTTTGAATTTAATTTTTTTTAAATTAAATATTTTATTATTTTTATTTTTAATGAATATTTTTAAAAATTTTAAGTAATTTTTTTACTTTTTTAAATGCACCTTATTTAGATGTATGTAAAAAGTAAAACATTTATAAAAAAAATATTTTAAAAAATTAATAAATACACAAGAATATGAAGAATATATTAAATTTTCATATTTTTTTTATATTTTTTGTATTTAGCGAATTTTTTAAAGTTTTTTTCACAAATATTATTCTTTTAAGTGTATTTATGTTAGGTTTATTTAAATATTAAAAAAATGCTTAAAATATTTTAAAATTTTAATAAAAATAAAAAAATTCAAAAAATAAAAAAAAAATTAATTTTTTGAAAACTGAATCTGAATTATGAAACCAAACAAGATTAAGTTTAGTTAGATCAAAAATGTTTGAGACTCCTAAATGAAGAGCTTTAGAGGTGGGTTTCACCTTATAATTTGATATTATGACTTATGATGTTATATTTTTGTTTTTATTATCACATCACTAAAGGAACTCTAATGGTTTCAATCATCACTCTTAGTCAGCTGCACCACGTCATTGTGATCGCATGATTATGCTCCTATCGGTCAAGCCAACTGCCACGTGAAATTCCGGACTAATGAATAACTTACATTTTTGGGTTTTTTAAGCTCCGTGTTTTGTATTTAGGCAAATATTAACCAGTGTTTTTTAGGTATGGTTTAATATTGAAAAGTATATATAAATTATTTTAAAATGTTAAAAGTATATTAAATTTAGTAAAAAAATATCTTTTTTTCTCAAATTTTTTTGTCATTTACTCATATTTGGGCACTTATTAGCAATACCCTTTATTTATACTTCCAATAGTGCCTATATTACTTTTTGACAATGTTGGTGGATAACTGTTGCTGTTTGTTTTCTTATTTTTGTTCATTTTGCTTTGAATTTTGTTCTGTTTCACAGACTCACGCCTTTTGGTTAATGGTATCTGAAAACTTTGCTTTGATAATTTTCTTATTGGGGCTCAAGTTTTTTCTTCCATTATTTTTTTTTTTTTTTTTTTAACAAGAGTTCAATTGGGTTCTGTTTCGTCCTCTTGGGAATACTTCATGAAGTACTGCGGGAAAACTACTCTAGAGGATCTGCGGGTTATTTTATTTTATTTTAAACTAAAATGGTGTCACCCTTGCTCCTAATTTTGTTTTATTTTTTCATTTCACACAACTAGGCTAGCTCCTTTTGTCTCACATCTCCACCAGCCTTGCTTGTTTGATGTTACATGTTACGTTGCATATTCAATGGGGAGAAATTTCTTCCTGTATTGGTCAATATTGGACCACAAAGACTTGACTACACAAAATAAATAAATAAATACCCACCGAGTTGAAAACCAAACTGAGTCATTACAATTTACATGATAAATGTATGCCTCAAAATCAATCCATTGTTACCCATCTCCATGATCAGTCAAAGCTCCATTCCTCCTTCAATGACTATCTTCTTCTTCTTCTTCTTCTTCTTTTTCTTTTTCTTTCTCTTTCTATTAGTCCCTTGTACTGCTCAAATCTCTTTCAACTTCACAAGTTTCAATCGAGACATTAACCACATCAACTACACTGGACATGCTTTATTATCTGATCCAGTCATCCAACTGACCCTAATCTTGAACAAACCCATGACAGGAAGTACAGGCCGAGCCACGTACTTCAAACCAATGCATCTTTGGGACAAAGCCACAGGAGCACTTGCAGACTTCAATACCCATTTCTCCTTTGTCATTAACTCACTAAATCAGACCCCATATGCCGATGGGATGGCATTTTTCCTTGCACCAGTTGGTTTCCCTATTCCTGGTGTCCAAGAAGGCAGAGGTTTAGGCCTTGTCAGCGGTCAACAAATATTCAACCCAACGTTCAACTCATCGCCGGCCAATCGATTCGTGGCAGTGGAGTTCGACACATTTTACAACAATGAATGGGATCCACCAAGGGAGCATGTAGGTATCAACATCAACTCCTTGGTATCTGTGCAAAATATGACATGGCGGTGTCAAATTCCCTCTGGAAAAATGAATCGTGGACACGGGTATTGTGGGGGAAATAGAAGAGTCTATGTAACACAGGTGCAAAATATGACATGGCGGTGTCAAATTCCCTCTGGAAAAATGAATCAGGCCTCGATTCGTTACAATTCTAGTTCGAGAAATTTGAGTGTTGCATTCACCAATTTTCTTGATGAAAACACCACAATCATGCAAGAGCTTTATCATATAGTTGATCTACGCAAGTATTTGCCAGAGTGGATTACTTTCGGCTTCTCTGCCGCAACAGGAACACAAGTCGAGACGCACACTCTTCACTCTTGGAGCTTCAATTCTAATATACAAATTGATCCAAATTTATCGAGTCCAAATTGGGAGCCAGTGCCAGCATTTGCCAACCAAAATCGAAAAATAATAAACAAGAGATGGGTACTAGTGGGATCTATAGGAGGTGTTTGTGTTTTAATCGGTGGGTTGGGCTTCCTTTGGTTTTGCTTGAAGAAGAAGAAAAAGAATAGGGTTGAAAATAAAGACAAGGATTTGTATGAGCTTAAAGCCGAAACAGGACCTAAGAAGTTTTCATACCAAGAATTGGCCACTGCAACAAGAAACTTTGTGGAGGAAGAGAAGCTCGGACAGGGCGGATTTGGTGGAGTTTATAGAGGTTTCTTGAAAGAATTGAATTCATATGTTGCTGTCAAAAGGGTGTCAAAGGAGTCTAAACAGGGTATTAAAGAGTATGCTTCGGAAGTGAAGATCATTAACCAATTGAGGCACAGAAATTTGGTGCAACTTCTTGGTTGGTGCCACGAAGAAAGAGAACTCTTACTTGTGTACGAGTTTATGCCCAATGGCAGCTTGGATTCTCATCTGTTCAACGACAACACCTTCTTGACATGGCTGACAAGGTACAATATCGCTAAAGGATTGGCCGCGGCATTGTTTTACTTACACGAAGAATGGGAACAGTGTGTGTTGCACAGAGATATTAAATCAAGCAACATTATGTTGGATTCAAAATTCAATGCTAAACTTGGGGATTTTGGGTTAGCCAGGCTTGTTGACCACGGGAGAGTGTCACAAACCACAGTCTTGGCCGGGACAATGGGCTACATGGCTCCTGAGTGCCTCATGACAAGCAAGTCTAGCAAAGAATCAGACGTCTACAGCTTTGGTGTTGTTGCTTTGGAAATTGCTTGTGGAAGAAAGCCCATTGACCTCATGGCTGAAGAAGGTCATATGAGGCTGGTGGAGTGGGTTTGGGAGCTCTATGGAAGAGGAAACCTTCTTGAAGCAGCGGATGCGAAACTGGGAGATTTTGATGAGGAACAGATGGAATGCTTGTTGTTTGTTGGGCTTTGGTGTGCTCATCCAGATTACAACCTCAGGCCTTCAATAAAGCAAGCAATTCAAGTTCTTGACTTTGAGGCTCCTTTGCCTAGCCTCCCACCAAACATGCCTGCGCCAGCTTACTCAGCTCCTGAAAGACACGGGACACAATCCTCCAGCTCTAGTTGCTACACCATCTCCTCCAACCATTCCGTGGTTTTTTCGTCGTTGCCACAGCTTTCATAAGGTGAGGGATCATTTGTACTCAATAATTGTTATTATATTTCATATTTATATTTTTTTGGTTATAATATGACTTGTTTATTCCAAAAAAAAATAATAATTGTTATTTCTCTGTGCCTAATACACTCTCAATTCCCAATTGTAGGACGTTGTGGGAATCTTTAAAACGTATGAATCTCGAGGTATGATTGTACTATTGAGATTGCGTTGGATATAGGGGAACATGAATTTTAGGTAGCAAGGTTCAAGTTGTCATGACTTGGGTGTTTGAAGTTTTCAGTGTTTCTATTGTATTCAACAATAAGAGCAATAGTTGTACAATTTATTTTAATTTGAGAAATATGTTGAAGCATATCTTAAATCAAGCTTCCTAGTCACTATGTAAATTGATATCATATCATAAAAAAAAAAAAAATGTATATCAGAATTGATTAATCTCATGTATTAAAATTTTATTTTATTTTTGTCTCAACACAGTCTCAATGTAATCTAGAATATGATGATGTGCATATTTTAATGGCTAAAATATTTTTTTCTATCAATTTTATTTAACAGAAATAGGCAAATGGTTTAGAATAAAAAAAACAAAAATATTATGATTACAATTGATAAAATTAAAATTTTAATAGTTATTTTTATTATAAAAGTCAAATTTTAAGATTTTTTAAATAACTTTCCCGAAAAAAAAAATGACCGGCCGGCCCATTTTGATTCCCGTCTTCTGCGAGATTTGATCAACCCAACCCACCTTCTCAAATGGGCCATCTCCTTTATTCAAGACTGGTGGACTACCCAACCACACACCAATTATTGCAAAGGTTTGAAAAAAAAAGGGGTAAATTATCACGTTAATTTATATATTTTGATTATTGTATTATTTTAATTGACTTTAATTATTAATATTTTTTACAATTTAAAAATAAAAATATTATAATTTTAATTAATTTTAATTGTTAACATTTTTTTATGATGAATACATATATAAAAAGCATATTTCATGTTTTTAAAAATAAAATTATAAACTTGATGATTTAGTGACTTAACATTAATTAATGCAGTGATAATTTTTATAAAAATATTAATAATATTATCAATTGAATTAAATTGATACAAAATTTAAAATTAAATAAATTAAAATTATAAAACTACAACAATGTAAGTAACAAATTTAAATACATTGGTATAGTTTGTTTAAAAAATAATAAGAAAAAAATGAGAGTAAATCTACTAGAATCTTCCCCAAAAAAAAAAAAAAAAATTCCCTTTTTGATCTAGGGTTGCCCCTCCGCCACTCTCAATGTTAAAGAAGGAGAATGTTGTTGAGGGCAATAAAACTACATGATTCCTTGATCGAATCGTCATCAAAATTTCCAGAATCACAGAGTTGAGTGTCATCCCAAGCATGTAATAATCGAAGCAATCCGAAACTTTAATAATCGGAACCAAGAGTAACATAAGCAAGGGCTTTAAATTTTCTAAGTAAACTAAGATGATTTCTTTAAAATTGTGTTTGGTTTGGGAATTTTGAAAAGAAATTTTAAATAAAATAAAATAAAATAAGAAAAGGCAAGTAAAACAAGAATAAAATCTATATAACAAAGTATGAGGGTTTTTTAAGGATAAGGGGTCACTCTTGTGCGTAAAGCACAGCAGTGACTGTGGTGCCTCCATTTGAGGTGTATTATGGCCTTATTTTTATGATCCAAACCGTCCATTTTGTAGGGTTTGTTAAGTACTTCATGCCTACCAAAAATCATATTAATCGGATATCAACAACTATACGATCGATAACCAAAAAAATAAATAATAAGTTTTATTTTGAGAAATAACATAAATAATATGCAATTCGATCATATAGTTATTGATAACCGATTAATATGATTTTTGGTAGGTATGAAGTACTCAACAAACCCTACAAAATGAACGGTTTGGATCATAAAAATAAAATTATAATATACTTCAAATGAAAGCACCACAGTCACTGCTGTGCTTTACGCACAGCAGTGACCCCTTATCCGTTTTTTAAAATGTATCAAAATATCTTAGAGATACATTTTGTTTCAAGGATTGAAATTAATTCTCAAATTCATTAAGGGTTAAGATTTCTTTAATTCTCACTCACCCACTTTCTTTTTCCCCTCTTTTTTTCACTCATGCAATCTCTCTCTCTCTCTCTCTCTCTCTCTCCCACCTTCCTTCCTCTTTCCTTTTTATATTTTTATTTTTTATTGTTTCCCTTTTTAGTTTTCTTCCTATTTCTTTATTTTTTATTTTTCTTCTTTTTGCTCACTTATTTTATTTACACCATAGTATACTTATGTTTTACACATATTTATCTCTACTTTTTCAAATTCCTCTCTAAACCTCCAACTAAACAAAGCCTAAGGTGGTGATTTGGGAAGGCAAAAAATAAATAAATAAAATGTGAATAAAATATATAATGTTTTTCCTTTCCAAAACTCGCCCTAAAACCTTCAACTAAACACAGCCTAAAGGATTTGTTGATTTGAAACTTGTCAAAAGCATATAGTTATGCCGATTTGGGGCAAAAATAATTGTCCTGAATTTTGAATGGGCTAATGATGAAAGATTTTTTTGGTTTTGCGTGATTGGTAGGGTTAGGTATGTGTTAATTGCAATAGTTGATGAAAGCCATTTGGGATACTCTGTTCTGTCCATGCAATCCTTTAATCACCGTGATTCTCTTTGCTTCATACTGGCATCATGTCCCTAGCTGCATTTTGGTTCATATTGATCTTTACAACTTAATTTAGTGTCTTTGATTTGGTGTTTCATTTTGAAGGAGGATCAATTGTGATTTCCTTGTCAATAGGACTTTCCCGGAAAAAAAAATGACCGGCCGGCCCATTTTGATTCCCGTCTTCTGCGAGATTTGATCAACCCAACCCACCTTTGCTGCCTCTGTTCTTGTTTTTTTATGTCATTTATTTTTAGTGTTGCATTGTTTGGCATATAATTTCTCTCAGTGTTCATGTGCTAACTTACTTCGAATAATTTTCTGAGATTTGGTGGATAATGTTTATAGTGATAAATCCAAAAACAAACACTATTATACATGGGTGTAGTACATACTATGATACTACACACTGCCAACATAAAAATTGCTTGGTGGAATTGACAATTACAACATACAATAAAACATTGTAATTTAAACTTTTTTGAATCAATTCATTTATGGTATCCTAATTCGATTGCCATTCAAAGCAGATGGAGAAAAGGCTACAAAGGTTGAGGTGAACTTTGAGGAACTATAGCATCAAGGTTGCACTTGGCTGCTATCAGAAACACAAGTGGAGCCGTAGGTTAAAGAAGCCAAAGATAAATCATTCACTGGAGGAGCAGAGTATGTTGCCAGAGGCATTTTTGTTGGGAGAATAAGGTTTCAAAATTAAGCACATTAATTGCTTGCCCGATTGAAGGTCGGAGATTGTGATCTGGATGAGCACACCAACGCTCAACAATCATCAAACATTCTATTTCTTCTTGAACAAAATCTGGGCACATCTTTAGATCCACCGTTGCTTCAAGAAACCTATCGTTACCATAAAGCTCCCAAACCAACTCCACCAATATCATTTGTCTTTCCGGAACCTTAAAGTCAATGGGTTTTCTTCCACAAGCTATCTCAACGCCACAACTCCAAAACTATAAATATCTGATTCCTTACTGGCTTTGTATTTACCTAGACATTCAGGTGTCATGTAACCCATGATTCCTGCCAAAACTGTTGTTTGCGAAGCTTTGTCGGGGTTGACAAGCCTAGCTAATCCAAAATCTCCTAGTTTGGCATTGAAATTTGAATCTAATATGACATTGCTTGATTTTAAATCCCTGTGAAACACATTTTTCCCATTCTTCATGTAGATAAAGCAATGCCGAGGCCAAGTGTTTAGCAATTTTGTATCTCAATGCCCATGTCAACAAGCTTTTTTCTTTGAAACGATGGTAATCTAAGCTTCCATTTTCCATCAAGTCATAAACAAGTAGCAGTTCTCTTTTCTCATGACACCATCCAGTTAGTTGCACCAAATTTCTATGCCTCAATCGACTAATGATCTTCACTTCTGGTGTATACTCCTTTGTTCCTTGTTTTGATCCCTTCGATATCCTCTTCACAGCAACATAGGAGTTGGATTTCTTCAAGAAACCTCTATAAACCTCACGAAATCCTCCCTCTCCAAGTTTATTTCCCTTAGCGAATTTGTTTGTTGCACGGAACAAATCACCATAGGAAAACTTCTTTGACCCGGTACCTGCCTCGAAGTCGTTGTCCATGCATAGTTCAATAGCAAATCTTCTTCTTTTGCTCTATTCCTTTTCTTCCACCATACAAAGCCAAGCAAAGCCAACCCACAAATCAAAACAGAAGAGCTAACAATCAATCCCATTACCGGTGGCTTTTTTTGATTTTTTGTCGGGATTTGCAAACTCGAATTGAATTGCCATGATCTAATAGTATTTTTCTCAAAACAATTTCCTGTTGCAGTTGATATGCCAATTGTAACCCAATCTGGTAAATACTTTCTCAAATCAACTTGCAAACTAAGGGCAGTATTATTTTTAGAACCAGTGAAAACAACACTGAAATTTTTCGAACTAGAATTATAACTAATCCAAGCTTCATTTTCTATCCCAAATGTTATATTATTGTACCTTACTTGAGTAGCATTAGATATGAGAGAGTTGATATCAATACGTACATGAGTTTCATTGAGCACGTCGTACTGTGGATTATGATGAGTATCAAACTCTACAGCAACAAAATGATTGGTGACATTTGACGACTGGGCTACGTTTGGAAGGCCAAGGGAACCACCTAGTATCATATTAGGAGCGGAACCATAAGGAACAAGGAAGAATGCGAGCCCGTCTGCAAAACTCGAGTTTCCTTCTAAATCAATGACAAACAAGAAATAGGTGTTGAAATCCGCTAGTTTTCCAGAATCTTTGTCCCATAGGTGAAGAGGATCTTTATATGTAGCTCGACCGACTTTGTCCACTCGAGTGCTCGTTTGGGGTGACTTGAATGCCTTCAGGGGTGATATAAGCATCTCCTTCCAAAATTATCTCCCCATTTACATACCGATCAATATCCGTGAAGTTGAAGCTCAGGGCAGTTGCACGAAGAGGGAAGTAGTAAAGGGTGAAGAAGAAGAGAGAACAAAGAAGAATAGTACTTGATGGGACTAATGGGTTCCAAGAGTTGCACAGAGTCATAGCCATGGTTGGTTTTGTTGTGAGGTGCAAAATTAATTTAAGTCTTGTGATTAGCTGAAAGTCTTTGTGTGCTGCTTAGTTTTCTTCAACCCACTTTCCTTCCTTTCATCTCAAATGAATAGAAAATACCGTACGGAATAAAACTATAATACAACGATCATATCATATCCAATTGGTTTTAAAATTAAAAACTAATTTTCCGTAAAAATTAAAATATTAAAAAAATTATCTACTCACATGATTTTATTTTTTTGTTGAACAAAAACAAATTCTAAAGTTTTAATAAAAATTTTTTGATGTATGAAACTAAACAGAAATTCGCAAGTCTTTTTCAGTTTTATTTTAACTGAATGTCACACCACAGGCCGGCTTTACTTAATGCGACATTAATTCTTTGTAAGATTAGATATCCTCGGGTCCTCTATTTATTAATATTGTGTCGTTTTTTATATTCTTGTTCTACTTGTTTTGTTGGGTAATTGTGAGACATATGAAACAGAAAAATATTAGTAAAGAGCTAGACTTTTAAAAAAATAATTTAATTTATTATTTTAAATCATAATCTTTTAATTTATTTTTTAATTTAAATCATTCGTCTAAACTAGGACTCATTTGAAAATTTACTATTTTAGTTAATGTTTTACGAAAAGGTACGTAAAAAATTAAAGAAAATAATGGGATTGGATGTTTTAGCTTTTTAGCTATTTTAGGAAAACAAAACAAAACAAAAACAAAAAAAACTCACCACAAACAAGGCCATTGTAAGTGTATAAAAATGTTTAAAAGTTAAGGAAAAACTACATGCAGGTGAGAGTAACACTTGTACCCTCACAGCCTTTTATTTGCACCCCACCATAGACACTTGTACTCTCATGTGTTTCGAACTTTTTTTTTCCAACTCCCACCTGCATATAGTTTTTCAAAAGTTAAAACCTTAAGGGCATGTTTGATTGACAAGATTAGCGTATAGGATTGAGATTATTAATCCGTGAACCCAATAATTCTGTATTTGTTTTGAAATTTTGTTTCAGGATTATTAATTTAATAAATAATTAATCCAATAAATTTGTAAGATTATTAGTAATTTGGTAGGAGTGGGATTATGGGCTATTTTGGGAAGTGGGTTAAAAGCTACTTCCCAGCTTTTAACCTATTTCCCTCTCTCACAAAAAAGTCAAAAAATAACTTTTAACCATCTTCTCAAAACACCTATTATATATCCTGAGCTGGGAAATAAAATAAAAGACTCTTTTACCCTTGACTAAAAATTAAAAAAAATATTATTTTTATATAATTTTATATTTAGAAGGCTAAAAATAATTTTAAAAATTTTAAAAATATTTTTTGATATTTATTTTATCAAATTAGTTTATATTTTTACAAAAATAAAAAATAAAAAACAAACCAAACATGGCCTTTGTATTTTGTATATTTATTTTGCTTTTATTTATTTATTTATAACTTTTTTTCAAAACCACGTTTATGAAGAAATTTTGATAAAGTAAAGATTGTGAAGAAATATTGATGGAGGGTAAGATTGGAAAAGAAGATAAATATAGTTGTAATCTTACATTCATATATTTTTTTTATCCAATGCAAATTAAACAATGAACAATGAGATAATTTATCCTACTAATCCAATTGAATAATGAATACCACACTAATTTGATGGGATTATTGATACTTTCACTATTAGTCTTGTGAATTAAACATAAGCCAAGTTTGGCATATTGTAAAAAAGTTAAAAAGTCAAAAAGTTACTCAAAAAATTAAAAAGTTAATACTATTCACCAAAAGTCAACAATTATGGCTACACAACGCCAAATTCTAATTTTTCCCTATAAATCAATTTTTATAATTTTTTATTACACATTTTTTCATAAAAAGTCAAAAAGTTAACCCAAACATCCATATTTTGTTCCTCAATTTTTTAGTCCAAAAAGATAAAAAGTACACTTATTTAGGACACCCCAAACAAATATTCTAATTTTTTCAAAAAAAAATTATTAATCAATGTGGACAAATTTGCTGAATTTGATATTATAATTAGATTAAAAATTTAGAAATTATAATAAATAATTAAGGATTTATGATTAATTATAATTTAATTGAATTAATGTTATGAAATATAAATTATGTGTGTGAGAGATGAGAGAGAAAATAACAAAAACAAATGGGCTACAGACCCCCAGTGGGGTGACCCCCACTGACGACCCCCAGTGACGTGTCGCACTGGGGTTGGCCGAAAATTTATAAAAAAATAAAAAATAAAAAATCAGTTTTTTTTGTCCAATGGGAGCTGACCCCCAGCACCCCCAGCTGGGGGTCTCAGTCATTTTTCAAAACAAATATAGGACTTGAGAGTATTACAATCATTTCATATCTATAGTCAACAGAATTAATAATTATATTTTGGTCCAAAACTACATAAAGACTTTTTAACTATATTTCAACTATCCACCCTCTAAAAAAAACTATGTTTGAACTATGGGGTAAAGTATTTTATGCTCAAATCAAATTGGGGTCAAATAAATTTTCCCTTTTTTAAAAAAAAATAATAAAATAAAATAATTCTTATTTAAAATATATTTATATTAAATTTTTTGGTAAATTATACTGATCTCCTTGGAGATTTAAATAAAATACAGTAAATCTTATAATTTTGGCATAATTATGTTGAGCTTTCTTAAAGTTTTAATTCACATAATATTTAACCCATTTTTTATTAATAATTCATTAGTTATATTGATGAAAAAATGATATTATCATCTCTTTTATTCTTTTTTTTTATATATTGAGTTTAATTGAATTTTTTGGGATAGTTTGAGGGATAAAATGGTGTTTTAAATAAAGTTTGGTGCTACGTAAGTGCTGACACCACATTTTATTTTCTATCGATTATGACCTCTTAATTATGGTCAAATTCGATTATGATTTGTTGATTAAGACCATAGACTATTTTTTAAGAGTAACCTTGGCCATATTTTTATTATTATTTTTCCTATCGACAAATATGCTGACATAACGTGACAAATATGCTAGTAATGTGGCATGAAAGAGATGATGATGTGGCTTGAAAAGATTAAATAAAAGTCAATAAAGATATCTGTTAAAATCAATTAAAAACCATATGCTAAAATTGGGGGATCAACACCAAGTCGAAGCACAAAATTTACAAGTAGTTCCTATGAAGATGGGATATGGTTGAGTGGAGCAAAGATCAAGAAAGATCATGGATTGATGACAACAACATGAGATGGCCAAGCAAGCATAAAAAGAAAACTTGAGGAATGATGGAAAAGATCAATCATCAACCATCAAACACACTCATGCAGAGTTATTTAGGAGTAGTTCTAAATTAACCATTTTAGAAGTAGATTAAACTAGTAGCTTTTCTAACCCTTATTTTCTTGTTTAAGTTCTTGTAACTAGTGACAAATGACAATTTATTCGAATTAATACATATTTTATTCTGTTTCATTTCTTCTTTATTTAATTACTTCCAGAGAAGTGCTTAAAACCCAATCACAAAGTCTAATCTTCTAGTATCACTACAACAAAACTAACTTTTTACGGCATCATATCAACGGCATACAATAAATGCACGCCGTAGTTTCTCACTTTTACAACTTACTTTTTTTGTACATTGTAAATACTTTTTCAACCACGGCATGTCTATTGTGTAAGTCGTGAATGGTAATAACGATGATTTTTTTACGGCTTGCAATGCACGTAGTAAATAATAAAACTTTCTATAACGTACATATGGCGTGCCGTTAATACATTAATTATACACGATGCATATACGCTAGCCGTGAAAAGTATTACACTTTTCACAGCACACACAATGCCTGCCGTTAAAATATTGCACTTTTTATGGCGCACACAATACCTGCTGTTAAAAATATTATACTTTTTACGACGCACAATTTATGTTGGTATGACAAAAAAAAAAAAAAGAGCCAAAATGAAATTTATGGCTCCAATTCACCAAAATAAAAATATAATATATATATATATATATTGAGAAAAGAACATACACATCAACTATTTGACTTCTAATAGATTCTAATCCTAAAAGAACTGGTTCGGAGGGATTCAATCTCTTCGGAGGCGATTGACGATACGATGACTCTGAATCTGAAAAAAACTGACTCAAGAAGACTTCTTCATCAGAAAAACCCGTTTTGTCTCTGAAGAAACCAGTGATCACTCAGACCTCAACACTAACACTATGTTTGGGAATCTACGAGAGAAAAGAAAAGAAATGATTACTTAAGTTATAAGAGAAAAGAAAAGAAAAGAAATGATTGTGATTTCTCTCCTTTTTGTTTGGATAAGGAAGAAATAAAAGAAAAGAAAAGAAATGATTGTGGTTTCTCTCATTCTTGTTTGGTTAGATTTCATTAAGAGAAAAGAAAAGAAATTATTTTATGTTATATTACCAAAATAACCTTTTTATATTTTCAATCATTTTATTTCTTTTATTTTTATAAGGATAAAATTGGTATTATGAAAATAGTGGTTTCTTTTCTCTTCCAATCTCTCCACTTTTGGGAAGATTGGAAATGAGGCTCATAAGAGAAATGAGTTTCTCTCCATTTCTCTCCATTTCTTCCCATTTCTCTCCACTTAAGTTATCCAAACAAACAAGAGAAATACATATCTCTCCATTTCTTTTCTTTTCTCTCGAAATCACTCAATCCAAACATAGCGCAAATCCTCAATCTTCATCTGAAGACGATTCACACTCCGAATCGGACTCCCCTCCCACCAATCCTCTCATCAAGCCTCTTGCTTAGACAATCCTCTCAAGCTACTAAGAAACCTAGATCCAAATCTGGTTCGGCGAAATCTGCAACAAAAGGGACTGAGACGAGCGAGAACAACAACAATCAGGAGTTGAAGAGGGTGAAGAATAAAGCAGTGGATTCTGATGTGGTTGTTCAAGAGGAGTCGGCAAAGAAGACTGGTCATGATACGAAGAAGCAATTGTTTCAGAGGTTGTGGAGTGAAGAGGATGAGATTGTGATTTTGAAAGGTATGATTGAATATACTGCGAAAAAAGGGTCTAATCCACTTGCTGATGTAAATGCTTTTTATTTGATCTGTGGTTCTTACTGAACATAAATATTTGTTCACTATGTTTGATATTTCTTTATACTTGAAATATATCAATTTTGGCTGCTTTGAGTGGCTGAATTCACCTTGAAGTCATGATTTATTTATTTATTTATCTTCAGATTTTAAGTTTGGTGATGATGCTTTTAATATACTTAAGGTAATCCTATTATGTATAGATTTGGCATTAGGGTTGAATTTGCCACTAGCGTAAGCATAAATTCTTTCAGTGGTGTGAGGATCTTTTGATGCTTTCTTCCATTTACAGATTCCTCTCCATCCTTCCATGCAACCATCAGTCTCAAGCACGATGACACTCATCTCAGGAGGAATAGAAAGATTTGGAAGATTTTGGATTTGGGCTTTAATTTGTCGAATCAGGGCCCAATCTTGAGCATTCAGCCTCTTTTCTCCTTTGGGACTCACCTCACGCCTTGATCTATACAGGACTTCTGCAGGAGCAATATTTGCTCTTTCAGACATGGACAGTTGAAGTTGAACTTCTGGGGCAATTTGTTGTTCCAGGGTGTCAGAAGTTGGAGATCTTCTTCGTTCTGCAATTGAAGGATTTCAGTAGAAATTTTGTATTCTTAAGTTTGGGTATGTTTGTGTATCTGTGTTTGCTTAGCTATCTCTATGGCCCCGTTTGGTAGAGCCGTGAAAAAGTGATTATAGATTATCGCTTATAACTGTAAACATAAATTGTTAACATGTTTGGTGCAGTTGTGGGATTATGGATTTAAGCAGCAGAGTAGTGTTTGGTTGATAAGCTGTAAAATAATTTTTGCTACATAATTGTCATTTTTGCCCTTACATGATATAAAAATGATTATTTTGTCATTTTTTTCAATTTTAATTTTAAAAAAGTTATTTCATTAATAAAAGTTAATATAATTAGTATTACAAAAATTATTATTTTCATTAATAGTATCAATTAGTATAAAATTATTTCATTTTTTCATTATAAATTAATTAGTGTCAATTAATGGCTTAATTAATATTATGATTTTTAATTAATTATTATTATTAGTATCAATAAATTTATTTCATTTTTAATTAATTATTATTTTTATTTTTAATTAAAAAAGCACTGAAACCTCTAAAAAAAACACTGAAATCCATCATCGGAGACAAACCAACGCCGGAAAGAGAGAAAGCAGCAGCGAAGAACCAACGCCGGACGACGACGGACGGTTGATCATCACCATCGATTGTCACGCAGTCAATCGTGACTCTAGGGTTCCAGATCGCGATCTTCACGCAATCGATGGTTAGGGTTTCGATCGCGAAGCTAGGGTTTCGATCGCTGAGAGAGAGAGAAAAATGAAAAAGAGATCTGGTTCGCGAAGCTAGGGTTTCGATTGCCAAGCTAGGGTTTCGATTGCGAAGTTAGGGTTTCGATCGCTAAGAGAGAGAAAAGAGATCTGGTTCGTGAGTGTGAAAGAGAGGGAGAGCACTGATTCGTAAGAGAGAGAGAGAGAGAGAGAGAGAGAGAGAGAGCACTGGTTCATTGACCACCGAAAATCGCCTCTCTTTCTCTCTCAAAGAATGAACAATGATGCTTGGTGGTTTATATAATGGCAATTTGGCAATACTTCAAATTAGTAAAGGGCATTTAAGTAATTTTGCTCCTCAATTTGTAGCTTTCCGCTTAAGTTGAATAAATAAGCACCCCAGAGGCCACTCAGCCAAAAAGTGATTTTAAGTTTTACCAAACATACCAAAACAACTTAAAATAATTTATGAGCTGAGTTAAGCAGCTTTTAAGCTCTACCAAACACCCCCTATATATCTCTATTTTTGGATGTCTCCAACAGAGAAGAAAACTGTACATATGTTATTTATGCCTCCTAGGTGCTTGATAAAATGCCACTAAGAATGGTTGGTTCATACTATACTTTTGTATTGTTTTCTTGTGGGTGTTTTTTTAATATATATATATATATATATACTATTATTAAAAGTGAAACCTCATTTTCCCATGGTTTAAAGTGACAATGTGTAACAACCCTCGTCACTGTATGCCGAGTAATTACCGATTACTGCTAAACTGAGACTGATTGTGAAAAGTAATTGAACTGATTGAAATACTGAACTGACTGACTGAAATCTAAAACTGATTGATTGACTGTATCTGTTTAAATGCATTTTCTATTTGTTGATTGTTAATTGATCTGTTCGTGTTTTTATGTTAAATTGCGAATTGAAGGCCTTATCAGCGGCCGAACCGGAAATCGATTAGTGTTTTAGGATCATTGGAATTTATGTGATTTTATGGTGTAACTATCTGAAAACTGATTAGGTATGATTAAATTAGATTAAAGAAGTTATATTACAATAGTTGCATTATTTACCACATTGCCATAGTATTGGCCCACTACTCTACACATATTGAGACTTGTAATTCATTGAACAAAACATTTCCTCAGCCATATTCATTGTTATTGCCGACTAGAGAGTGAGAATAGGGAGATTGGGTGATTTCATCTAGAATTGCTTGGGAATTGGAGGAATTGAAAGGAGTTCTTGCTAGATTGAACCTCAAGACTAGTAATTAAGGAACCTAGGTATGAATTTCATCCTCTTGATTGTGTCTTTAAGTTGATTCATGCATGGTTCATGTCTAATTGAGGAGCTAAGTCAAGTTTTAGTCCTAGCATGTCAAATTGAAGCTCATTCCATGCATGCATGTTTGAATTATTGAGTTTTAAGTTGTTTTCATGGCAAAATGTTACATGCATGCTTATAATTATGCTAAGCCCATGATTTCATCTTGTTTTGAAGGGAATTGGCTCCTTAGAGCATGTTTTGGAAGCTTAGAAGCTAGCTAAATTCATGCATGTCATGTTTGAGGATTGTTCATGAAAATTGGTTTGAAATTGTAACAACCCTCATACTGTTTACTGATTAGGGACTGATTGATTACCGATAATCACCGATTACTGTTAAACGAAACGGATAATGACTGATAACTGACTGATAATTGAACTGAGTGAATACTGAACTGACTGATTGAAATTGGAATCTGAATTAACTGAGTATATGTTAGTTAATTGCATTCTATCTGTTTGATTGTCTGATTATCTGTTCATGTTTATATGTTTAAACTGCTAATTGAAGGCCTTATCGGCGGCCGAATTAGAAACCGATTGATGTTCCGTGACCCTCATAATTAATGTGATTTTATGGTATATTTATCTGAAAACTGATTAGGTATGATTAAATTAGATTAAAATAAGCCAATTAAAGAGTTTGCCATAATTACCATTTTGCCACTTAAGTGGCCCACTACTTGGATCATCTTTGATTCTCATTATGCTCACACATACACATTTCATCAGCTCTTGTTGAGCACACCACCGACTAGAGAGAGAGAGGTAGGGAGTTAGAGTGAATTCACCTTGAATTCCTTGGAAACTTGAAGAATTGCTTGAGGAATTGAAGTATAGATTGCATATTTGAGCTCCTAGTCTTCTAATTCAAGCTCTAGGTAAGGATCTTATCTTCTTATTGATGCTATTGAACTAGTTCTTGCATGGTTCATGCTTCATTGTAGAACTAAGTCATGATTTGGGTCATTAATGGTGAATTGAAGCTCATTTCTTGCATGCATGGTTAAATTAATGAGTTTTGAGTTGAATTCATGGTAAATGGTTACATGCATGTCCATGTTGTAAGAGTAGACCATGTTTTCATCTTGTTTTGAAAAGAATGAGCTCATTTGAACAAGCTTTGAAGATTTAATTTGGTTTGAAACTCATGCATGACATGTTTGAATGTTGTTCTTGAAAATGAGTTTGAATATGGTTTTAATTGACTCACCTTTGGGGCTTGAATTCATAAATTGAGCTTTGAAACTTGTTATACATTGAATTTAATGATGTTTTCCAGAATTTGGGCCCAAGAGGTCGAGTTTGGAGCGGTAGAATGCTTGGTTTGAGCTTGGGAGGCAAA